CAGCCCACCCTGTGCCCCCATCCCCACCTCGTGCCCCCCAGCCCAGAACGCTCAGTGCTTCCCTGGGGACTCCCCCCCTCCCTCGGGGGTCTTTTAAACCTCCACAATTCTGGGATTCACGAGGTTTCCACCCCCAGATCCCCCCCCCAGACCCAGCCCAGACCACCCCCCACCCCGGGACCCCTCCCTGGCCCCGCTCACCCAGGGGTGCAGCCGGACGGGGGGTCCTGAAGACCCCAAAGAGGACGATGACGACGACAACGGGCACCACCAGCAGCACGAGCAGCTCCATCCTCGGCCTGGCACCGCCTGGGGTGGGGAGCAGAGAGGGGCAGGGGGGGCCCGGGTCACCCCAGAGCGGAGCAGAAGGAGCTGCTGAAGTTTTGGGGGGTGTTTTTGGCAGGAACAGGAAACGAGGTGGGAAATGTTCCTCCCACCAGCTGAGCTCGCCCTGAAGCAGCTCGAGGTTGCACCAGGAAGATCAAAACCTGCTCAGGGCGTGGGTTGGGGCCAGGCAGAGCCCCAAAAATGGCTCGTGGGGAGACAACCCCTTTATCACCACTCTGGCACCGCTGACATGTGAGAAGAGGGACAGTTTGGGGCCACCTAAAGCCCTAAAAATATCTCTGGTGGCCTCCTGGAGCCTGGCAGGGAGGACACAGCCCCTTGGTCACAGCTCCAGCCACCCCACAGAGGGGTGTCACACGGTGTGAGCGGTTTTGGGGGGAAAAGGGGGTGAGAAACAAGCCTAAAACACCCACCACCACCACCACTCCGGGGTTTCTCATTTCAACCTCTGCTTTTCCCGAGCAAGAGTCCCCTGGGGATGTTTTCCCAGCACAGGTCAGAGGTGGGGACTTCACCTCGGCCTCCCTGGGGGAAGGGGCAGCCCCCACCTCACTCAGCCCCCCAGAAAAAATCCCCCCCTCGGGTCACAAGGAAGAGCCGAAAAAAAAACCCACTGAGCAAGAACGTGACTTTTGCCCCAAAATCCTCCCCAGGGGAAGTTGTCACCGAGGGGTTTTGTCCTCCCCAAAGCCACCCGGAGGAGTTTTATTGCCCATAAATTGAGTCTGGAGCAGCAGGGCATGGAAAGGGAAGGGGCTGGGCTGGCTGGGGAGGGAGGAGGGACCCGCGGCTCCGAGGTTGGGGTTTGTGGGACCCCCCAGCAGGAGGAGCAGCGGCTGATTTTCCGGTAAAAAAGGTCCTTTTAGGGTGAGTAAAACGGGGGGAGGAAGTGCCCTGAAGAGCCAGAGCGGGACTGGGAGGCTGCAGAGAGTTGGGCTGGGAAGTGGGGACCTGTTTGGGCTGGAGAAGGCTGAGAGGGGCTCTCATCAATCCTCAAATATCCGTACAAATATCTCACATAGAAATCTCTCTCAAATATCCACAGAAATCTCTCTCAAACATCCACAGAAATCTCTCAAATATCCACAGAAATCTCTCTCAAATATCCACAGAAATCTCTCATCTGAGGGGGGGAGTCTCATCATTCCACATAAATCTCTCAAATATCCCCACAAACCCCTCAAACATCCCCACAAACCCCTCCTCTGAGAGGGGATCTCATCCCATCCACCCCCACAAATATCCCCAAGGATGATCCCAGACTTCTCCCAGCCTTTCCCAGTGACAGGACAAGGGGTGATGGCCACAAACCAAACCTGGAGGAGCCCAACACGAGCCAGAACTTCTTTCCCCGGAGGGTGGAACAGCCGCCCAGGGAGGGTGTGGAGTCTCCTCTCCGGGGCCATTCCAACCCCTCCCGGACGTGTCCCTGTGTCACCCGCTCCGGGTGGACCCCAGAGGTCCCTTCCAGCCCCAGCTACTCCAGGATTTTGGGATTTTCTGCCCTACCCCGTGGCTCGTGGCCGCACTCAGAGGGGTGGAAGGCGACGGCCCAGCTGCTGACGGGGTTGCTGGCGGTGCAGACACAGGGGGTGTTGGTGTCCCACAGGGGGTAGGAGAGGTGCAGGAAGCTGCTGTTCCCCGAGCAGAGCCCCGAAATCCCGCTGTCCTGGCTGCCCCAGCTGTAGGAAACCTCATCCCCTCTCTCCACTGTGCAGTTGAGGGTGAAGGCGCAGCTCCCATTGGCGAGTTCCCTGCTGAGGATCCGGATGCTGGGATGGGACACCGGCTCTGGAGAGAGGGACAGGGGGGTCACCTGGCATCAGGATGGGTATTTAACACCCCCTCCATCCCTCCCCCGGCTCCCAAGGGCAGGGAGCATCCCAAAGGGTCCTCCCAAGGGTCAGGAGCATCCTGAAGGGTCATAGAAT